GAGGAACATGACAAAGAGTACAAGGTGTTGACTTGGCCTCCAAATTCCCCAGATCTCAATCCGATTGAGCATCTGTGGGATGTTCTGGACAAACAAGTCTGATCCATGGAGGCCCCACCTCACATCTTACAGGACTTAAAGGATCTGCTGCTAATGTCTCGGTGCCAGATACCACGGCACATCATATTTGTGCTTCAGTAAACAGTGAACAGATATTGAGCAGTAACCTTTGTGAACATTAAAAACAATTTTATTGCAACAATCATTTCAAGGTATTTATAATTACAACAAGACCTTAAGCTCTGAAAGGTCCCCCTTGCAATTCTAATGGCTTCACTGCACACAGATCCTGTCAATGTTGCACGCATGGTTAGTACGACAGAATCAATACTCACATTGAGATGGCTGAGGCCACCAACAAGGCTTAGTGTATTTGAGGATGGCTTACCAGTGAAAAGGTTTGTGAAATTAGAATCATGACAATTTACTGACACTATCAATTCCCCATCAAGACAAAAATCCTCACATTTCATTTTCCAGAAATTTTGTAGTGGTGAAAGCATTTTATAACCAACAAATGAACATTTTAGATAGTGTCAAAACAGAAATCAACAAATATCAAACCAGGCAACATATTTCCAATCTTCATCTGGCCAGTTCTGGTGAAACTGTGCCCAGTGTAGCCTCAGAGTCTTGTTCTTGGCTGACAGGAGTGGAACTTGATGTGGTCTTCTGCCGTTGTAGCCCATCCACCTCAAGGTTCAACATGTTGTGCATTCTGAGATGCTTTTCTGTTTCTTTGGTTGTAAAGAGTGGTTATTTGTGTTACCGTAGGCTTCCTTCCTGAATTGTGTCTTTTCACAATTCTGCTGTTTGATATAAATATTAACTGAACTTTCGATCTGACCTGTATTTTTTCAATCAAACATTTGTGTTCGGTATAAAACCAGGGAACCACAGCATGATCAATCTGCTCTCTCAATTTTGTCTGGAGGTTATGACTGAAGTATGTTTTTTCAATGTCTGTCTTAGATCACATAAGTCACAATGAAGTGATATACAAAATCTAATTAAGCTAGTCAACAGCTGATGAAGTGTAGCTTTAGCATCTGAAAATCTACCTTTGAATCCTTTATATGACTGAAGTAACCACATAAACCAGGGAAGCATGTATGTGAGGCAGTGTCTCTTTTGTTTCAATCCCACTGACATCTTTGAGGTTAATGGACTTGATAGAGTGGATAATGCTGGGGACTGTGGATAAAAAACACCACTTCACTCATGTCAACCAGACTGCAGCAAAGAAGTACCACTCTTTCTTTACAAACTGCTTCCCATTACAGTGATTCAGTATATTTCATAAGTCGATAAGTGCAACCTTCTAAAGTTTTATTTTAGAAACTATGGAATGCAATCCAAATAATGAATTACTGAGTAATTTATTTATGATATTTAGGAATGATGCAGAAGTCTCAGTTTAACCCTCTATATTTTTTTCACACTTTTATATGAGGAGTATGGAAAGCTAGGGCACCTTAAGCGATACACTGAAATAGACAGTGTGAAATTGGCAAGCAGGTTCTCAGCTGGTCACCACAAAGCCTCTAGCTGTTTTTGACTCCTGTGTGACACTAGTGCAGATGGGTAAAGCATTAAAAAATGTACAACCACTTCACTCATATCGAGCTCATTCACAGCTTTGTTTCCCCAGATAGTTTTAAATGTAAATCATTTGAATTACTAAAGAATTCCTACCCTAATTAATAGCCCACCCAAGCATGGATTAAAAAAGCTTCTTTTGCTAATAATAACATCACAAACATATGGGTTGATGAACTGATTCTGCTTTGAGACATGACAGGCAAATCAGATGATAATCAGCTAACCTGTAATTAACTTGTCAATGTATAAAGCACTGGAATGGGTGGAATGAAAGGGTTTTGATGTTCATTAAAATGTACCTTTGAGATCAAGGTGATTACACTATGAAATTGCCTGTTAAGTTTAATCAACCTAATCACTGTCTGTGAAGGAGCTCTGAGCTATTTATACATACATGCCCACACAGATGCATTCAAGCAAGGCATGGATCTAACGATTAAGAATGTATGAACCAAATATTGGAAATATATTGGTGAAATGGATGAATATGACAAAAACAACATCAAGCAAGCAAGTAGTTGCAAACCAAGCTATGTGGATTCTGTTATTAAGTCACTGTGGTTTTGTTTTTCTTCTTTTTGTCTTTGCTCACAGGCACTTAGAGGAGAAGCAATCCTCTCCAAGGAAACAAAAAACCAAGCAATTACTGACAATGCAATTAGTGTTTCTGTCTTGGCTGTTTTTTTTTTTTCTTTTTTTCTTTTAAGATGCATTAGAACCTCTCTCTGTAGGTTGCGTACACATGGGAATTTCTTCTCAACAACATTATTGTGTGTATGGTTTTGCAGGTTTTATTGAAGCGCAAGTGCATATTTTTAGCTGTACTTTTATTGTTATGAATAAGCAGCCAGTTGCATCAGGTGACTGTAAGCTGGATCATAAATCAGGGTGTCAGTTTGATCATAAACCAAAATCAGTTAGTTTAAAATAGCATGGTTTAGAATTTCAGTTTCACTTAAGGTGCTAAAAGTGTTCATGTAGATCAAAACCAGTGATTCAGAAACACAATCTGACATAAACAGGAGAAACTACATCCACAATGAAGACATAGGGATGCATTTAGTGTCTGTCTTTCTCATTATAACATTTATTTCAAGAAAGATTTGTCCAAGTTAGCCTTTGTGACAAACTAATTTGAATTTGATTATGCTGAATGACAGAATAAAGTAAAACATTGGTAAAGAGTTTTTGTGGTATTTTGTGATGTACTTAAGTGCTCGCTATGCTGCCTGATGTAAAAACAGTCTATTTGTCATTTATACGATCCTTCCATTACATTTATATGTCCCATTATAAACAGTGTATTTTAGTGTGATCATAGACCACAAAAATACTTCCCACATAAAGAAATCATTATACTCCTCACAAAATAAAAGGAAACTAAACTTGCTTATAGTTAGTAAATGCACTTTTTATAAAATTTTTCCCCTATTTTCTCCTGTTGGTCACTTGCCAATTCCCACCCACCAGCCAGATCTTCCCTATAACACCTTCCAGCAGAGGTGGATTAAGGTCTACACAGACCCCTAGGCTCAGGGATTTTCAACCTCCCACCCGACACCCCACCCCCCTCGGCCCGCAACCACAACCTAAAAACACATTTGAGTCAAATCCACCATCTTGCTTTCTCTGAGAAATGTGAAGCCAGCCAACCACATCTGCTCATGCTATGTCACAGGGCAGTGAAGATACTCAGAGAAAAGCTCTATCTGCCCTTGTCTGCATACATGAGCTCACAAACACGCCGATTGGCTAGTGTCTCTGTGATTGGCAGATGAGTGAGTATGCCATGCCTCCAACCCAGAAAGCATGGCCAATTTTCAAACCCGTGCTCTCCTAATGATAAAGCACGCATTTTTTAAATTCTGCACACATTGCACTCTGCATATTGAACAGAATTAAATAGTAGGCCTAGTTTCGATTACAGCAAATGTTGTATGTGCTAGAGGGTAGGTTTTTGTTTTAGGTTATAACTAAAGCCTGCATTTAAACTATGTAACTTGGTGGAACTGGTCATTTTTTAGTAGATTTTTTCAGATTGAGCTTACAGGATTGGTGCAAGCCAGATGCATATTTAGAAAGTGTTAGAAAATGACAAAGTTTGAGTATTTTTACCATGCTTTTTCTAGTATTCTGTCTCTTACACTTTCAGACACACCACAAACAGACGCCACACACACACACACAAACACACACAGACACACACACTTTCATGTGATTAAAGAAGGAGTGTGTCACAGCCCCACATTCTGTCTCTAGCTATCTAGCTTGTGAGTCATTTTCACAACTCTGAAATTGGTTGTGTTTTCAAGAGCTGTGGTCAACCTGAGGTAATCCTAAAAAAGGAAAAGGGAACAAGGTGACATTGTTCTAGGGCATTAGATCTTTAGTGCCATGAGTACATATGATTACTCTCTGCATATACCACTTACATTTAACCTTAGTCCTGGACTGTGTGTCTCCCTGTATTTGATTCAATGCAAATTCAGGATTATGTGCTCACTCCTAGGCCTGTGTCTAATTAATTTTCTGACATGCATTCCACAGATGTGGACAGCTTAGCCAAGCATGACCACCACTTTCCTTTTTTTCATTACAGTGAACTAAACAGAATTAAATATCTGGATATTGTGAATTGTTAATATACACTTTCATAATGCTGGACAACTCCACATTTATATTTACATTATTTATTCATGTACAGTTACAGTGATTCCTAGATAGACAGTTGCAAAATAAACAACTTTCATTTTTTATTACAAAACCCAATGATTGGAGTAAGTTCTAGTACTCTGAGGATGATTAATATTAAATGAAGCACAGAATTAAAGAATCACAAAATAAATAGAAATACAACTGCAAATATATCTGGAGACCACAACAGGTATAAAACTGTTCACAGTCAGTATAAAAGGCAATGCAATGCATTAGTTGGAACAGAAAATTGGTTGTTTACCAACTGGCATACAAAGCAGCAGGTGCAGTCGTCTGACTGCTAAGATGGAAAGTAATCAAGATATAGGGACTAAGCCGACGTGTGTGTAAACAAAGGAAATTACTCAAGAAGCATGAATTGTTGCAAATGATAATTAATTGTCTTTTAGCTCTTTTAGTTTCATTTTTTTTAATAAATCTTACTTGTAGCCAAAATGTGTTCCAAGTACTAATTTGAGTCATTTTCCAGTAATCAATAATAATCTCTCTTGTCTTATTTTGACACATCGAGACTAGAGATAGGTGAAAGTTTTTGTTGCTCTTTGCACCAATAATTGTATTTGCTGTCAGAATTTGGATTGATGTTTCATTTTTGTTTAGATGTTTTTATGACTGTGTTTGGATCCCTGGAGGATTAGTGGCTAGGCCTCGGCGCTCTCACCAGTACGCCTCAGGTTCGATTCCCGGCCAGGGAACTGACCCCAGTCACTGGGGTCGCACATGACAGTGCACTCCCAGTGCCAGTCCCAAGCCTGGATAAAAAAGTGCCAAATCAAATATGCGGACCAATGATCTGCCGATCAGCTGAAAGGGGAAACACAACTACATCATTTGTATGCCTGTATATAAGTGGGTGTAGTGAGAGTGTGTCCACAATATGTTCTACCTTCAAAAAGGCCCTGCACAAGGACAAAAATGGCTGTGTGATTCACTTGATCTTTTGGTAAAGAGGAATTTGAACTCTGTATTGTACCGCCTGCACTACATTTAACACACATCCAGCAGGTGTTCTCTAATAGCTCAGTTATATAAAACTGAAACTAGCAAGACGTCTATTATATCTGTAGATCCCAGTGGAGCCAGATGTTTGGCTAAAAAGCAGAACAATGGCTGTTAAATGGTCCTGTTTGAGGCTTCTTTACTGTTTTCCTCTGCTCCAGTTTTGACACTGGCCCTATGAATATTGCCACCACTGATTTCTCATCAGTAGTCTTGTTTTGTCTTGTTAGCCTGTGTGATACAATCAAAAATGATCTGGATGACTATAAACCTTCACAAATGTATGTGGGTGTATATGTATTCTTTTGTTTCTCTATGATGTTTCTAAGTTGCATTTGTATCTGCAATTCAAAATAGAATTCTCTGATCCTTGAGAGGGTATATAAGGTAT